TGGATCGGTCTAGCTTGATGTTGAATGGAATAGCTTACTATGGATCGGTCTAGCTTGATGCTGAATGGAATAGCTTACTATGGATCGGTCTAGCTTGATGCATTAATGTGTTCGTGCTGTTTATGCAGTAAAAAATAGATAAATAAAGCGGACTCGTAACACGCTTAATTTCATAAATTTATTTTAAAATTAGAAATGATCATTTAGAAGTATTAAATTGATAATAACTTTTTTTAACTGGTATCTATTTGGTTGTGTCTTATATTGTAATATCAATAAGCGGATCTTATAACGTGAAAATTTTGTATGAAGATCGAAAGTAGGAGAGCCATTTGGAAATATTTTTCAATGCGATGAATGATATCTAACTTGTTTTGCAAATTTTAAAGTAAGAAACTATTAGAAAGTGCCTTTTTGCTATTTAGCGCACCTAAACAACGCAGGGATCTCAATAAACCGCGCGGTTATTGGCAGTGGCAGGATACTGGACCAGGTGGCAGGATACTGGATCTCCAAACCACTTCGTTAAAACTGCGATGCAAACCAAAGACAAAGGATACAAATGACAAATTTGTTCTTATTATGTTGCAGGATAATTGCAGGTTTCAATGCATTAGCTTTTAATAAAAGGGAGTTACGATGATTTTTAGCTGAAGTGTCAGGACACCGGGCCACACACACTGTATATCAAAAACAGATGTTAGCTTATCCGGCGTAGTAACAGTAACTAGGGAGGTAGAAAAATGAATGTGGGATTGGCGTCATAGACATTTTCGATTTACTTGTAGATGTAATGGATGCTTGAAAACTACCTATATTGGCACTATTCACTGACTATAGTATACCAAAATAATTTAAGAATAAACAGTTATAAGTTGTCTTAGATGTGTTTTTTCGTATTATTCAGGCGTCTTTCAAACAATCGTATTGAAGATGTTGCGGTTGGACTTTTCAAACATCTCAAAGGACTTCACACCTTGTAAGCACATCGTTATATTTTCTATAGTATTTTTATTAAGGCTAACCCTTTAGTATTTTTTGTCCTCTGAGGAAATGAATTGTAAACTTTCCCCCAACACCATACTTACACCCTAACTTTATTATAAATTATAGCATGACATGATCATAATAATATCAATATTTTTATTTGCTACTTTTACAATTTATACAATACGATGTACAATTATACATTTTGTTATAATATGTTAAAATACGAAAACATAACTTTGTTTTAACGGGGAAACGCAAACGCAATAGCCTTTTACAGTTTTCTAACTTACGGCCCCGCAAAAAAATATATTAATAGATTATTATTAGTTAAATGATATATACAATGATATATAAAACAAATACTACAATATTGGTTCGAAACACAAATATCACGTGAATTAGTATTGGAAATCGCTCGATCTCGAGTACAATTTGGAAATTAATAGACACGAGTAGTGTTTTGAAAGTTCTTGTAATTGCACGAGCCTTTAGGCGAGTGCAATTAAAGAACATTCAAAACATTACGAGT